GGAGCACGCGTTCCACGAGCGAGCCGCACCTCCTCCGTGCCACCCACGGCCGCCTCCAGGAATGCCCGTGCAGGGAAGGCCCCCTCCGCTAGTGGGGAGGGTCCCAAAGGGGTCGCCCCGACCCAAGGCGACAGCGCGTAGCTGGGGACCCAGGAGCCCCCGGCCCCGGCCTGGTCATGCAGCTCATTGGGAGACTTTGCCCAGACAGTCACTTGCAGCCTGGCCTACCTCAGAGGGCTGTTGCTGTGGAAGTAAAACTGCAACGGAAGTTGCCTGTGGCCCCCCATAGAGGAAAAGAGTGAACCATAACAAAGGTTAGCCATGCCGTGAGCCCGACTCTCCCCTTCCTGCCTGTGGCTGCAGACCACCCGTTGCTTTGCAAAGCTGCGCTTCGTGAACCCTTCTGCTAGCGGGTTGGAAGCGCAGCCGCTGCTCTCGCCGAGAAAGATAGCCTCTCCTTTCAGTACCTCTGGGGGCTCCCCTGCAGCTCCCACAGGCGAAGGGCCGGCCAGCCAGCCAGCCAGCCCGCCCTGCCCTCGGACGTGGTTGCTCATGTCTTCCGACGCCCCGTCGGGGGGTTGGGCTGGGAGAGGCAGCGGCTCTCCCGCCTCATCTTCTCTGTCCCCTCCTGTCCCCGCACAGTTTGAGCCTCTCTGCCCCCGGCCCCACTGCTCCTCCTGGGTCTGGGTCCCCCCCCCACAGGCTGCCGCCCACACTCCGGCCCGGCCCGTTGCCGGGGGGCTTCGGCTCACTGTGGAGGAGGCTGCCGCCGCTTCCAGAACATGGCTCCTTGCCATGCCCCCCGCCTCTTCCTCGCTGGTCCATGCACGGAGGCCAGGCGGCTGGAGTGGTCCTGAAGTTGCCACTCTTTCCGGGGGGCTCCATGGTGGTTGCATACAAGGCCCACGGAAAGCGGGATCAGCCGACACAACAGGCCACAGTGGTGCAGACACCATAGAACAAAGCCTTGCTTCTTATCTTGGTTTCTGAAGGCCAAGCTCACCATGGGGAAACAACCTGACTGGGTTCACAGAACAAGACAGGCAACAGTGTTTAAAAAACTGGCTGGCTTGTCTGAACCCAGCAGGTCTTTCTAAACTGGAATCTCTGCAGTTGCACTGGCACGGGCAACACACCTGCCAGCCAGTGTCCTCCTTGGCCCCCCATTTGGGGATGTGCATGAACTGTCCTGCCTCTCCGCTAATCCATTCTGTCCCGCATGAGCAAGAACGTCCCGGCATTACTGGGAGGAAAGCCACTTCCCACACAGGCCACCTTCTCTTTCCTCCCACGAGGAAAATAATGGCGGACAAATTGCACTGTTCCCCATGTTCGCATCACAACTCGCTGGGAACTCAATAAAGCCCATTTTATCGGGCTGGAGAATTGGATTCATCCCGCCTGGAGAGCACTTGCAAAGACGATTCCCAGGGGGCATGTGATATTGTGGCAGGCAGCCCCTGCTTCTGGAACGTTCTTCCAGACAGGCACACTCCCTCCTGAGAGGCAGGCAGGCAGGCAGGCAGGCAGGCAGGCAGGCACAGAAGGGCTCCCAGGCCTCCCAAAGGGCCCGGCTGCAGAGCTGCGAGGCTTTCCACATCACCCCTGCTCCCTCCAGGCCTGGAACCCTTTTCCGCTCAGGCACATCTGCCACCTGCCCAGCTCTTAACAGCAAAGGCGACCAGGCTGGGGGGGAGGCTGGCAGCTGCAAGGCAGGCTTGTCACGCACGGCCGGTACAGGGCTCCGTCCGCTGGGGAGGCCTCCACTCCCTCTGCCCGGAGTGCCCCAGCCCCTCTAGGATGGAGTCAAGGGCGGATTGCACGGGATAGTGGATTTCCCCAGGATTTCCTCGGGCATTCCCTCCTGCTTGAACAGCCTCCCCTGGAGCTTGACGGCCGCAGGGGGCTGAGCGGGCTCCTGGCCACATCTGCCACGGCAGGGGTGCCCGGAGGGCTGGGAGGGAAGACGATGGAGGCGGCAGCGAGAGCCACCAGGGTGGACCCGGCACGTCCACACGAGACACACCGTGCTGTTGAGAGCTCGCCACCACATGGGAGCCCAGCCGCTGTGCCGAAGGAGCTGACCCAGCCGTACCAAGCAGTTCTGTTTCCCGCTTCTTGGCCAAACATGTTTTCTTCCTTTGGTGTTCAAATTATTGGGTGAGCTCTGATTTCCTTTGAAAGGGAGCTGTCGGCCTTTCATGTCAGCCGCCCTCTCTGCTTGCGCTATCAGTGCTCCAGGGGTTTTGGCGCCTGTGTGCAAAAGGGCATCGAAAGACTTGCCCTGCACTTCGGCCGGAGCGCCTTTGCAGGGAAGGCCCTCCTGAGAGTTTGGGCAGTTCATGCACTTTGGTGGGGGGAAGCCTGGTGTGGCAAAGGACACGGACTGCAGAAGGACCCTCGGCCCATCCTGTTTCTAGGCTGCTTCTTGTGAGAGCAGCTCATGGCCCCGGCTACCCACAGAACTCTTGCAAAGGGTGGGCGAAAGCCCACGATGCTCCGAGCAGGCCGCAAATATGCTCCAGTGGGCAGACAACAGGCAGGTGCTCCACCCAAGGCATCATGGGCAGCCCCGTCTGGGGAGAAGGCCTGGCAAAGGGAGGGGCGCCTGTGGCCCCGCAGGCAGCTCCTCACCGCGTCTGGCAGAACGAAACCAGGGCACATGCTTCGGCAGCGTGGGAACGGGGCTGCGGAACGTCAGGAGAGCGGAGGTAGCCGCAACCCCACTCTTCGAGGAGGACCCATGCCAGCAGGAAGGACAAACCGCAGAAAGGCTCCAGTAGGTTGAGTTCCCACGGCAACGCTTTTAAGATGCCCTGTGGTCTCCTGGTCCCTCTGGGATTTCCCCTAAGGTGTCAGGGAAGGTCCAGCGGGAGGCGGGGACAGAAACACCCCGGAGCTGCGCAGGGAGCGAGAGGGGCAGGCGGCTTTATGCACGACCCGCCAAGGGCCAGTCCAGTGGAGATGCGGACCCACAGCCGGAAAGGGGGGCAGCCTGGCTACTCTCTCCTCTGTGGCATGGATGGGCACGAGGTGGGGGTGAAGACGGACAGATATATTGGGTCGCCTGGAAGATGAAATCTGGAGGGAATTGTTTGCAGAGCCGTGGCAGGAAGAGGGTGAGCCAGTGGGGGCCGCCTCTGAACAGGGCTGGCTTGCGGGGCTGCCCCTTGGCACGCCCTCGGGCTGCCCAGGCAGCGGATGGGGCTGCAGCCGGAGTGCATGTTGGAGCAAGCAAAAAGTGCTCCAGTCCTCGAGAGCCTGGGAAGTCCAAGCCCAGGCTGCTGTTGCTGCCAACCACGTCCTCCGCGTTCCCTCCCGTCTCCTCCTTTGCATTCCCAAGCAGTACAGAGCTCAGAGAGGAACCTTTCTACAAGAAGAAAGAACATAAAAACTGTGTGGGACCTTTAGGGAGACTAGTTTATTTGCACACATGCAAGCTGACAATGGGAAAGTGGGCATGTTTTGTAAACTACAAACCATATGCAAGTTAAGCCTATGGCCTCTTGTTGGGTTGTGGATTGTGAACGCTTAACAAGCCCTGGTTTGCTGGTGTAGTTGGGTTCATACAATACAGCAAGCCATGTTTCCGTGACAACCCTCACTCAGCCCTGAGTATGTGAACCCAGTTAATGGCTAGTGTGTGTCCAACAGTCTCTGGACAGAGAAGCCAGGGGAAGGCCAGTGGGGGGCGGCTTTAGGCTTGGCCTAGAGGGGCAGACTGTGGGATGGTACAGTGCTCTGGAGAAGGGGGCAGTGGATGATGGGAGGCACGTGCTCCTGTCAGGTCGGGAAGCCTAGAAGCACTCCTTCCACTTTTAAAAGGAAACTTAAATGCATCCTTCAATTAATCCTCAAGATTAATGCTCCTTCTAGCCTCAGGAGCTGTCCTCAGCCAAAAGAATGTGCCGAGCACGCTCTCCCCACAAAAAGCCCTCCCTCTGGGCCAGGAGCTGCATGCTAGAGTAGCCGGTGTTGTCTTGCATTTCGTAGTGAAGCACCAGCAAGGCCACGGGCTCCAGGCCCCCAAATGCGCTTGGAGTGCCAGATATGAGCACCAGGCAACGCCCAGAGAACAGCCACCTTCCTGGTAGCTGCAGCCCCACTGCTCCCTGGGGCCGGGAGTCCTCCCACAGCGGGGTCTCCTGGCGAGCACCAGCGTGCGCGGAGGGGCCCTCCAACCCGGGGGGCACCAACGAGGGCGGCAAGCTGAAGCCAGAAGAGCAGCTCGCGCCCGCGGGGTCCCTCTCCCCACTGATGCTGAGCTGGGCGCCATGCACCCCCTCCTGGACGGCTTGCCCCGCCTGCAAGGCCTCCTCCAGCGGGACGGCCTGACCAGGGCTGGGGCGCGCGGCGGACCCGCACGCCCGGAGAGCCACGGAGAGCCGGCGCGCGGGTCCGGCCCGTCGGGGCTGCAGGCCCCCGCCCCGCTCCGGGGGGGAAGCGTGCCAGGCCGGGCGTGCCGCGGGCCAAGCGGGGCCCGCTCGTGAGGCCGCGCCCGCGGGAAGGACGCGCCGCCAGGGCCGATCGCCGGCCCGCTCTGCGCGCCCCGCCCCGCCAGGGGGGCAGCAGCACCTGGCAGCGGCGGGACCCGGGGGCGGGAGGGCCGCCTGGGGAGCCGCGAGCTGCACGGGGAGCCCTCGGCCTTCGCGGAGGCGGAGCCCCTGGACGGCGGCCCAGCCCACGCCGCGGGCGCGCGCCCGGAGGGGCGCCTGCCCCCTCCCCGGGAAGGCGGGCCCGGTCCCCTGATGCGCGGGCAGAGCGGCAGAACGGGGCGCAGGCCGGCCTTTCCACCGCAGCGCCGGGCGGGCCCACGCGCGCTCCCCCCGCCCGGAAGCCCCGGCAGGGCGGTCTCCCGGGCCCCGCGACGCAGCCACGCAGCCTCCTCCGGCTCCGCCTTGCTTCACCCCGGGGGATCCAGCGAGAGGGGCTCGCCACGGACGGCTCCGGGAAAGCAGCGGGCGCGTCCTTGCCGGGGACTTTCTCGGGCGCCCCCGGAAGGAGCCGCAATAAATAGGGGGCCAGCGGCGGAATCCAGGGGCAGGGCGGGCAGGGCGGCGGCGCAGCGCCCGGTTTCCGCGGCGCCTCCTCGGGTGCGCTTATTTCAGGAAGATGCGAGTTTTCTTGTCCCCGATCAGGAACCTGCAGCGATAAAGGCAGGCGCGGTGAGACAACGCTCCCGGGGCCCTGCCCTGCGCCCCGCTAGCTGGCCGCCCCTTCATGGGGTCGCCCGGCTGTGCGTCTCGGCGGCCCACAACGCTGCCGTGGCCAGGGTGGGGCGGGGCAATGGCGCGAACGCGCCTTCCCGGCCTGGTGTTTTGGACAACTGCCAGCCATCCTTGGCCGTTTCTGGGGCTGATGGGACTTGCGGTCCAAAAGAACTGAGGGGTGCCAGAACAGGGGAGGCTGGAGGCCTCTGCCGTCGCACTCCCTGGCACACCACCTGTGGAAGCACGGACAAGGGCAGCGCAGAGGGTGGCAGACAGGCTGCCTGTCTGGCCACTGGCCTTTGCTCGGCATTCCTGGCACGAGCAGAGAAGCCTCCCGGCACTCAGGCACCTCGGGAGGGCTTTCAGCGGGTGCTCAGCGCCAGCCAGCCCCAGCCTGCCCACACCGAACCGCTCCGCCTCCCCTCCGTCGCCCAGCGCCCCCGGCCCCCCGAGGGAGAAGCGCCCCCCTCCCGCTCCACACTGCCCTGTTGCTGCTTCTCTGGTGACGTAGGGAGGCAGCTGGGGGGCGGACTAGACCATCTGGGGCGATCCAGCAACTGGGGGGAGGTGGCAGGTCAGGGCAGGTGAGGCCAGAGGTGCTCGGTCTACGCTCCCCCTCCAGCTGGAGGCCTGAGAGTCCTAGGCCAGCTTGCCACCCCACTCTCTGCACCTGCTAGCAAGGTGCCTCCAAGGAAAAGGGGGAACCGCAGCCCCAGAGCCAGAGCCCAGTCCGTCCATCTCCATGCGGCCAGCCCGACACCAGTGCGACTGGGAGGTTCTGCATGGGGATGCTTGGGCCCGAGCCAGGGACTGCCCCATGCAAAGCAGGGGCTCCAGCCGCCCCCTGCAAGCAGGCCCCCCAGCAACGGGACAGGGAGGAGCTGTGGACCCCTCAGGGCCGAGAGCCACCAGGAGGACTGGCCCTGCTGGACTGGCGCAGTGGCCACACTGGCCGGCCTCCTCCTCTCGGCAGCAGCCTGCCGGGCGCCTCCAGGAATGCCCCAGGCGCCAGCAGCACAGGCAGCTGGCTCGGCCCGGCCCGGCCCGCCGAAGACCCACGGTTGCACCTCAGCCAGACGAGCTCTTCACCCTCCTCCTGCCCTCGCCCAGGGAAGAGGTCCAGCCCACATACCTTATCAGTGCACTGACCAGGAGCCCGCCACATATGGGCCCGACCCAGTACACCCAGTGGTAGTCCCAGTAGTCCGCAACCACGGCAGGGCCAAAGGCTCTGGCGGGGTTCATGCAGGCCCCCGAGATCGCGCCCCTGAATGGTGCGAAGGAAGGGCAGGAGGTCAGGGCCGAAGCACCAGGGGCCTCCCCCTCCCACACACTGGCTCCACGCCCATTCACAAGACCCCTCTTCCGAGAGGAAGGCCAGCAGCTGCGTTGGTCAGCCTCCAGCAGGAGGGACCTCCCTCCACATACGCAGACCCCCACTGGGCTTTTCCAAGGCCTTGGAACCATTTCCAGCAAAAATGTAAGAATGGTCGCCTCCCAGGGACACATCCCAAAGTCTTTGCTGTTCTGCCCATTTTGCCCCATCAAAGCCTTTGCCAAAAGATCTCTGCACACGGCCCCAAACCGGGGCCGAGATGGCGGCTTCCGTCAAGCGAGACCACAGACCAGCGCTTCCGATGCAGCTGGCAATCATCTTTCCTTGCCTCGCCTGAATGGCAGAGATCTTTTTTTCACTGGAAGAGGTTATACCCCAAGGGGCTCCTCATGTGTCAGAATGCTGGACCAGAACCTACCACCCACAAGGCCTGCTCTGAAGTGCAACACGCAGGCAAGATCAAAGGGAGCAGCGCTGCAGCCCCCGTTCACTGTGCTGGCCCGCAGTGGCCGCGCGTCTGGACGGGGAGCATTTAACGAGTGCGAGCCGAGCCAGCCTCATTCCCCCTCTCCTTCCAGCCTCAGGAAAGCTGCCCGGCGCCCAGCGACTCACCCTGCGAGGATGTCCGCCGCCACAGTAAAGCCAATGCAGAAGGGGGCCAGAGGGCTTCTGGTCTTCTCGTTGATTGCCCCCATGCAGACGGCCATGACCAGAAACATCGTCATCAGGATCTCGCCCACCACCGCCGCGAGCAGCTGGTCGTCTGACTTGATGGTGGTGAAGGCGGCCCCTGTGGTGTTTCGGTACATCTCCTGGGCTGACACCACCTGCAGCAGAGGAGTTCCAAGCCTCACCGCACACGCACCCTGTCCTGGGACCCACGGGCACCCGCGGGCATTCTGCGCTTCCCCCGTGCTCCGGCCCCAGCGTGCGGGCGAGCCCCCACTCGGGATCGCTCATCTGCTCCGCGGCAGCAGCAGGGAGAGCTGGGCCGGGGCTGCTCAGGGAGGGCACAGGCCTCCGTGGCGCTTCCCGGCCACCACGCAAGGGAGGCTGCTCTGCAGAGGTGGCTGGCATGGCCCAAGCAGAGGCTGCCCGAGGCGCCCGGAGTCCCTGGGGCCAGCGCTACGGCCGGAGGGGGACGCTCGAGGAGAGGCGTGCGGAAGTCCCGGCCTCCTCGGACCTTCGGTCAAGGGTGCACAGGGCGGCCGCAGAGCACGCGGCGAGTGCAGAAGGTCCCAAGTCCAGCTCTCGGCACCTCCAGCAAGAAAAGAAATGGGCAGGAGGAGGTGGAAGCAACTGTTCCTGCCTAGAGTGCTGCTGCCAAGCAGGACACAACGGAGCGGGTGAGATGAAAAAGGCATTGCGTCTGGTTTGAGGCATCCTCTTGAGGGCACGTCCCTGGACAACATCCAGCACTCCTGCCGAGTCTCGCCCGTGCTGCCAGCGCTGCAGCAACAGCAGGCCCACGGCTCGTGCAGTGGCAGCTCAGCACGTCCAGGCCAGCCTGGAGCCGGTGGCGCAAGTGCTCGCACCTGGGGGAGGCAGGCCTGTGGGGCTCCCGCGATTAGCACGGCCAGCGTGCCTGCTTCCACAAATGCGCCTCCTCTTTCCAGGGCTCTCACAGAAGCCCCGGTTTTCCCTCGGGCAAGTGCTGCGTCCTCCCATGATGTAACCGGCAGGATTGGCAGTTTGTGGAAGGGACCCACTGGCGGGGAAAGAACTGCTGAAGGCAAAAGCACCCTCCAGATCCAACCCTCTTTGCCGCCACGGATCAAATTCAGCAGGCAGTGCTTTCCTGCCACAGGCAGTTCTCTCCAGCTGCACCTTCAGCATGGAGAGACCGGGAAAATCTGCAGAGAAATGGCTCCCTCCCACCCAGGGGAACCTGCCTCCCGCATTTGGTTGGCCGTCAGAGACGTGGCCACCACAGTGCATTCGGGTCATTATGGGGCGAGCAAAGGGTGCCTTTTCCTGCAGGCAGGGGAACACTCCTGCCCTCTGCTTCAGCTCCTGCTCGCTTCAGCGGGCCTTGCACGGGAGAGCTCCCTGGGAACCTGCACTTCCCGGCACACATGGCTCCACCTGCACACGGTGGGCATGTCATGAGCGGAGGCAGCTGGAGCCGGGGGTCAGGCTAGATGGCCCGGGAGGACCCTTCCGACTCGCCCTGGCTCCACGTTTCTGTGCCCAGCATTTGGTCCTGCCTCCACGCATGGGCGTGAGGGACCCTCCCTCCATTCCTCCTTTCCCCTGCTTTCCGATTGCAGTCTGTACCTTGGCAAACCCTGCCCCAATCAGTCCTCCACACAGCTGTGAGATCCAGTAAGGAATGACCAGCACCATGTTCAGCCCGCCAACGAGCCACGCTCCGAGGGACACGGCAGGGTTGTAATGGCCTCCGCTGAAAGCAAATGGCAAGAAGGAGAAGCCGTGAGTGGGAGCGGCAGCAGGATGCTGCTGGGGCGGAGCGATCCCCACGTTGCCTGGGGCCATCTCCTGGGTGGTCTGAACTTGGGCAGTGTGTCTCCTCCACAGGGCTGGCAGCCCCCCCCCCCCCGAACTCCCTGTCTCTGGGGAGCGTCCCTGTGAATGCCCTGAACTGAAGGCCAGGCCCGAGTTCCCCCGGAGGTGCCCATCCGTGGATTTCGGAAGGAGGCGGCTCTGTGACTCTGAAAGGCAAGACTGCGCCAGCAGCCGCCTACGTTGCTGCAAAAGGAGTTAAAAGGGGGAGTCGATTTTTCCTCGAGGCTCCACTTTGCCTACTTTGTGCACAGAGACCCTTTTCTGCAGAATGAAGCTGTTCCTGCCTCACACCCCTAGAGTGCTTAATGGGCTTTGCACATGCCAGGACCGAGCCCCCCGTTCGTGGGTAACAGTCTTGGATGCCTCGCCTCGCCTCGCCTTTGTGGGCAGCAGAACTGAGCGAGGCGAGCGAGTGGGCGTCGCTTAGATCAAATGAAGCGGAGCTGCCCTGGAAGCAACACTGACAAACCTGAGGCTGTCCTCCTTGGGGCACGTGGTGGGAAGGCCAGACTCCCTGGAGAAGAGGGCACTGCTAGGGAAAGTCCAAGGGGGGAGAAGAAGGGGTGGGGGAGGCCAGCAGCGAGATGGATCAGTCCATAAAGGAAGCCGCAGCCTTGAGGTGGCAAGAGCTGAGCAGGGCTGCCCGGGATGGGCGCTTTGCGAGACGCCCGTTCCTGGGGGCTCCTCGAGGCAGAGGCAACTCAGTGGCGTGCGTGGGCAGCGTTCTGCCCCAGGAAGCGAGCAGGAGCTCCGTCAGGATGGCGGGATTTCGCTGCACGCGTGTTTGTGCTGTTTGGCAGGTGACTTAGGAAAGCACTTGGAAGCCGCTCTCCATCCCGTTTGCCTGGGAGCTCACATGCCTCTCTTATCTAAGCTGACAGAAGACCAACTGTGCAGCTTCAGCACAAGGGGATCGAGAATGATCTCCAGGCTGCAGAGGGCAGCACGAAAGGTTGACCAGGAGCTGATCGGAAGCATGTGTACACTGCTGATCCAGGGAAATGAGGCTGAGGGCAAATTCCACCTGCTCCAAGGAGTCTGTTGAGACATACACACCCAGGGCAAGTTCCCGTCCTGCTGGGAGACAGGGCAGCAGTTAAGCTCAAAGTTCTGCCAGGCGGCTTGGAACATGCGCTCCTCGAGCTCCGCATGCCTTCCCCAGCCTGAGGAGAGGAAGGGCCACCCAGAGGAGGTCCTGGGCTCCCACTGGCCTGGCCCGGCCCGGCCCTGGGCTGCCTTCCAGGGATCCCAGCTCCATTCGCCAGCAACTGGTTGAGGGCCCCCGAGGGCCTGGATTTGGCTGTAAGGACAGCCTGAGCCCTGGCAGTGCTAAGTGCTGCCTGGACACGGGGTGGGGAGGGAGAGGCCGGGGCCCCCAGCAAGGACACCGCCCCCCCCCCCCCCACGGGCAGCCTTGGCCTCCGCCTCCAGTTCTGGAGAGCTTCCTGCTCAAAGCTTGGCCAGGCTCCCCCTGGGAGGGGGCTGCCTGCTCAGGCATCTGGGCCCGGCGGCCAGTCCCCCCGCCCCCACTCACCTGATATTCCCCAGGACAGCGATGGTGAGCCCCAGCGCCAGTCCGTGCGCCAGGGCCGGCTGCAGCCTGCCCGTGCCCTCCGTGTTCTCGATGACGGACGTGCAGCCGATGAAGATGAAGAACGCCGAGCCCACCAGCTCCCCGAGACAGGGCTGGAGGTACTGTTCAAACCAGTGTGGCTTGCGGGGGCTGCAGGGCCCGTCCAGCTCGGCCTCCTTGATAGACATCTGCCCAAATTCCACGTCGGACATGCCTGAGCAGCCCTGCGGGCGAGAGGCGAGTCTTGGTGGCCAGCCAGCGCCGTGCAGTGTCTGCCAGAGCGGGGTGGCCCAGGAATGCGACCGTGGAGCCTGAACTCTGGCGCCTGGGCCACTCCTGTGGGACGCCCCGGGCAGCGACTTGGCGGGGCACCTTTCATTGTTCACGCCCGCACCCCCTGCGCAGGGGGTCCGTGGTCCCTGCGAGGCGGACACCCGATCCGCACTCCCCTGGGGGGTACAGCGCCCGAGGGATTGGCCGAGGGCCGCCTCGCCCGCCCCCATCTCCAGGAGAAGCCAGCCGCGTGACTCCCGCCGCCAAGCAGTGGGCGGAGGTGGCACCACCAGCCCAGCCTGGACTCGCCTCCCCCCCCCCCCCCCAGGGCGGGGGGGGGGGGGCCGTGAGATCGCGGGGGGGGGGTGAAGCGCCAGGGGCACTAACGGCTCCAGGCAACTTGCCGGCCCTGCCTGGCGATGGGCCGTTGGGAGAGTCGGGCGAGAGGGCCACCCGTGCAGAGCGCAGGGGAGAATCCTGCCGGCGTCGACAGCCCTGCTGCCGCCGCTGCACTGCGGGACGAGCGAGCGACAGCAGCAGCCCCGGCGTGGCTTTGGCGGCGCCTTGAAAGGACCCCCCCGGCATACAGGCCGACCTTTGCTCTGCACTCGCCCCCCCTTCCTGGAAGCTCTCGGGCAGTGCGGCCAGAGGCCAGTCCGGACTGCTCGCTGTGGGGCTGTGTGTGGAAGGCCCAGCACAGCAGAGGCGTGGCAGCCCAGTTCTGTAAGCAGTGGTCCATTTGACACAGTGAAATCATGAGGACTAGCTCCTTCCCGGGCACCACTGAGATGGATGGGAGCAGCCAATAATAGCTGGCATGTTATTGCTGTTCTGGATTCCCTGTGGATTATTTCTACATTTAATTCCTATGCCACCCAGTAGCCAAAGCTCACCACAGCAGCTCAGTGCGCTGTTTGCTTCCTGAGCAGCAGGCGCCGCTCTCCAGAGGCTGGATCTGCACGGAGCAGCCTTCCCCAGCCTTGTGCCTTCCAGACACGTTTGGACTACAGCGCCCAGGATTCCCAGCCGGTGGCCCTGCTGGATGGAAGTTCCGAGAGTTGCAGTCCAGATGGCTCTGAAGGCCACCAGCTCAGGGAAGGCTGAGATAAGCGAGCTTTACAAATAATGCACCTTCCTGACCTGCGGGAGCCTCCAGCAGGAGAATGCCTAGCCCCCCCAGTTAGAAGACCGTCTGCAGCTGTTCCACCTTTTCCTTCTCAACAGGCTTTGTGCAGTACGAAGAAAGATGGAGGAAGCGAGGGAAGGTGAGGACACCTGGAGCCCTGCGCAGCTCCATGAATGAACTGGGCCCGTGGAAGCCTCCTCCAGGACCACCAGGGACGTCGTTGCTCACAACCCCGGGGACTGGAGATGGTGGCTAGAGGGGGGCGGGATGCTGCGGCACTTCGCAGGCGGGCCAAGCCAAAGACGCCGCGCAGAGGAGCTTTCTGCATGTCCGGCACGAATGTGCAACGGAATGTGGCTATGGAAGATAGCTGCTTGATTAAACCAATCTCATTAAGTACAGTACAGGGGTCCTCCTGTACTGTGACCAGCATGTTTCCCAACAGTCAAATGATTTGTGTGTGTTGTTTCGTCACCGCAGCCCCATCTGAGCTGTGTTCAGAAATGAATTGCGCCAATTTCAGTGAGCATCGCTCAGGTCCCATCTCCTTGCACTGGCCCACGGTACATGCCCAGCCAGTTGTTAAGCTGAAAGCAAGGCAGTTCTACACGCAGCGTGAAGCATTCTGAGACAGCGGCTTTCGAGTGATGGTTATACCGGTCTCCTGCATCGTGTGCCAAAAGCCCTGAGCTCCTCTGGAACGGGCAGGGCACGAGCCCTCGTGTCCCCGTCGCCCAGGCAGCGGTCAAAGCGAGGTCTGGGCAAGCCCTGCAAGGAACGTGGGCAAGCCGCCCGGCGCAGCACGCAGAGCTCGCCCCCCAGCCAAAGGCTCGGACCTTCCACATCGGGCATGTGAACCAGCAATATCATTGCCACAGGAACCGAACGGCACGCAACCCATTTAAGAAGTGCTCTTCACTAATCCGAGCAATGGAGAGTAGAATTCAGCTCTGAATGCCCCAATGTGCGCCTCACATGAACTGGGGTTTGTTTTAACCTCCTTTTCATTCGGCTCACGCAGCTGCTGAAAACCACCACCCCTGCCCGATCCTGCCCAGGCACGGGCTCCACGCCCTGTGGAAGGCTGCATGTTCTGCTCCGCGGGAGGGCCGTCCATGCAGGTGTCGGGGGGATGCTGCTTGCCTCAGGTGGTGCTCCCCATCCAGCAGGCAAGAAAGCCTGAGCCGATTTCAGAAATCAAACTGTTGATTTTGGTTGTGACTGTGAGGAGGTGTTAAAAAATTGTCCTGGTCTGTTTAGGGTTATTCTTTGCTAGCAGCTAGTATTTTGAAACGGAACAGCTGGAAGAGGAGTGCTGCAAACTAAGCCAATGAAAGAAATACAGGATCAGCCTGTGTCTCTCCTGGGTCTTGGCCATCCATACCTGGAACCCTTTAAAATAAAAAGCCGCCTCTGCGCTCTGGGTGGGGATGCTGAGAAGATGCTGAGGCAGGGGCAGCCCTCCCCAAAACTCACCTGGGACCTGCTTCACAGCTCTGCTTTCTTCCAGGAGACAAGTCTGCAGAAGTCCTCCTGTGGAATGGCCCTCTGCCGCTCGGGGAAAGGGCTGCTTATCTCTGGAAAATATTGGCATGCTCCCTCCTTGAACCATGACATTTGAGAAGCAGATATGAGAAGGGGGAGTGGACAGGAGTTGTGCTATGAAAAAGTGCGGTAAAAGCCGACACGGAGGGGGTGTTGCAGCTGGCGGAGAACGGGAGCTCGTTATCTGGCCCATTCTGTGGTTCAGGACTTTGTTTCAGGAGCCGGAGCCAACTCCGGTTGCCAGCTGAGGGTGACGTGCAGAGTGCAAAACTGGCAACGGTGGCTGTGGGGGGAGCCGGGCTTCCTGCAGTCCTCCGAGCTCCGTCGCATTTTCATAGGTCCTTCCAACCCAGGCGAGGGAGAGCGAGCTTGTGTGGGAGAATGTGAAGGCCTTCCTAGGCCATCCTCCATATTATCAGGACACTGCCCAGAATCTATGCTCAGTGCCACAAATGGGGGAATGACTAATACAGAAGATGGCACCCCTGAGCACAAACAGAGTGTCTTTCCATCTGCACTGAGAAACTGCAACCAGTTTCTCTCTCTCACGTTGGGAAAGATGAGAGTTTCCTGGAAAAGGCTGTGCATCTGCAGGAAGCGTAAATTGACTGTAATTACCACAGTGAAAAGTGGGGGGCAATTTACTGACAATGAAGCAGTGAAGAAGGGAGGGGCAAAGCAAAATGGTGCTAGGAAAGGAACCGAAAACTGAGGAGCACGATGCCTTGATTAAATCAGTGCCACATCGTTATTGGGAGCAGAGCACCAGTACAAGGAGATTTTATGCCACTTGGGAGCTGGGCACAGTCTGGAAGAGGGCAACCTCCGTGCTCTGTGGGGGGATCATTTCCTGCAAGGAAAGTCTATGCATTTGGAAGGGTGGGAGAGCTGCAAGGTTATAAATGCAGAGCCCCACGATGCAGCTGGCAAGCAAAAGGCTTGTGGCAAAGGAGAGGCCCACGCGGGCCGAAGTCCACACTCGGTGCAGGTGCACGTCCCAGCAGACAGAGGAGGGGGCTAATTCCCCAGGCGGGGGCTGGATTTGTCCCAGCCGCCCCTTTCCACGCCAGCTCTGCAGGAAGCCAGGTTGCAGCCGGAGGCCGGGAGAACTGCCTCGACCGCTGGAGCACCATGGCAGCGGACCCAGCCAAGTAGGGAGGCAGCAGGCAGGCGAGATGAGCTGGAGAGCCTTCCGAAGGGATGCTGCACGGCGGGGCCTGCGTTAAGTGGGCGCTGCATCCAATGCCTCGCCAGGCATCTCTAACCCAGCTATTCTGCAGAATGACTTCCCAGAGCCCCCAGAGCACCGTGCCGCAGCCCGGTGCTACAGGTGGCCTAACGGGCCGGTCACAGGCAGAAAGGCGGCACTTGCGTGGACGTGCCGACCTAGCCACATCGCAACGCCCGCCTCAGCCTGAGGGAGCCGACGAGCTCCCTGCGGGGTCGCCCTAATGCCTGCTGTGCTCAGCCCGCCTGAAGCTGTGGCTCAAGGACGGGGGCTGGCCAAGATGCGCCTCAGGTAGGAACAGCGCCACTGGTCCGGCGTGCCTGTTGACTTTGCCGCTTTGAGTCAACACGCGGAATTTGAGGAGGCCGACTGGGCAACCTGCTCACTGCGGTGAACAAGGTCGAGATTCTGAAAAGTTAATAAAAGTTTGCTTTAATCACCCGGACGGCAAAGGTGATGTGAACGCGCTCTGGCTCTGAACTGATGCACAACCTGCGATATAAAGCATAAGACCTGAGGTGCTCTGCCAAGTTACAGCCATGTCTTCTCATTGCTGCACCAGCATTCAAGTCGCTCATTTCATGACTCTCTTCTGCCATTCCGGTCCTCAGGGCAAACAATTAGCAAAACATAATGCAGCCTTGACCTCCGCAGGCCAGGCCCCTTGGGAGGCCAGTTCCGCTTCCGTAGTGGAGGCGTCCAGAGGACCAGCCAGTCCGTCTTTGTTGGATAACTTTCCATTATGGAGGCCTGAGGATGCGGAGGAGGTGCCTGGACGAGCTTGCCCCACCACCTGCATACTCAACCACTGCCTTTCCTGGCTGAACACCAAAGCCAAGGTGGTTCCAGGAGGTGGTAAACGCCTCCGGTGGAGGGACAGGGGCCTACCCCTCTGAAGAGGTGGTCATCAGACTCTCCTGAAGGTGGCAAACCTGGCCCAGAAGTTGCCACCAATTATAGGCCAGTGGCCAATATCCCCTTCTTGGGCAAGGTGCCCGAGGGGGCGGTGGCGTGACAGCCGCGGGCACTCTCCAAGGAAGCTGGCCAGCTGGATCCATTTCAGTCCAGTTTCAAGCCTCGTTTTGGAACAGGAACTGCCTTGGTTGTCCTGTGGAATGACCTTTGTTGGGAGGAAGATGGGGAGAGTGCAGCTCTGCTGGCTCTTCGACCTCTCGGCGGCTTTCGATACCATTGGCCTTCTGGGTAGGCTGGCCAAGCTGCGTCGCAGTGCTTCTGCTCCCTGGCCACCGATTCCAGGGGGTGCTGCTGGGGACTGTGGCTCTGTGCCATGGCGGTCACGTCATGGCCTCCTGCAGAGCTCCATCTGATCCCCTGAGGGAGGTCATCCAGAGGTTTGGGGCATGGTGTCACCAGTATACTGATCACACCCAACTCTTTCTCTCCTTTTCATCTAATCCAGGTGAGGCAGCGTTGGTTCTGAACCAGTGCCTGGAAGGTGTGATGGACTGGATAAGGGCCAATAAATGGAGGCTTGACCCAGATAAGATGGAAATGCTGTTGATAGGCAGGTCGTATGTCCTGGTGAGTGATATTCACCCTGTTCTTTCTCACAAGGGACACTCACAAAGTGTCTGGGCAGCCCTCTGAGAGGGATGGTTTAGCTTGGAGTCCTGCAAAGAGCAGGGGGTAGGGCCCGGTGGCCTCCCTGGCCTCTTTCAACTCTATTATTGGAGCTCTTCGATTCTATGCTTCTATGGACTTGGTCTTTTGTA